TTTTAACGAGAGTAACGCTGACAGCACTAATTCTAATGTATAAAACTAAAATTTCACAGCACTCACTATATATGGGTAAACTTTGGACCATAAAACTTTTAAGCAAATTGGAGTTGTTTAAGTAGAAAATGTTACCAAACATGTAATAAAAATAATAATAATGATACATTTTATTTATAGGCGCCTTTCAGACCCTCATGGATGTACTGGTTTGAGATGGAGTGACTGATATAATACAAGAACATATTCTTTAAAGAATACTATATTGAAATAGTCCAACATGAGCTTCATTAAAATGGCTTTGTGTCTTTTCTTTCTTGGTTGGTGCTCAACAGGAAGGAGTATACCTCCTGTCACCTGGAGATTGACAGCAGTCTTCACGCCGATGCTGGAGTGTACAAAGTGACACTAGAAAACAAGCTGGGAAGTGCCAGTGCCACCATCAATGTCAAAGTCATCGGTATTTAAACACACATGGCCAGTTTGTACATCACTGGAGAGACACACTGAACCTGGAGCCATTTTTTTCATGTCTCTATGTCTTTGTCTCCAGGGCTTCCTGGTCCTTGCAAGGAAATTGTGGCTTCTGAGATCACAAAGAGCTCCTGTAAAGTTTCATGGGATCCACCAGATTATGATGGTGGTAGTCCAATTCTTCACTATGTCTTGCAGGTCTGAGACGGCAGCGTGTTTTTACTGATCACGTTAGAAATCTGACAGTGAAAATAAAATGCTCATGTGTTTTTTCCTTTGTTCCTTTTGTGGTGCCACACAGCGGCGCGAGGCTGGCAGGAGGACGTACATCAACATAATGTCAGGAGAGTGCAAGGTGAGCTGGGTGGTCAAAGATCTCATCCACAATGGAGAGTACTACTTCAGGGTCCAGGCCGTTAACAAGATTGGAGGAGGAGAGTTCATCGAGCTCCGCAACCCAGTCATCGCCGAGGACCAGAAACGTAAGGAAATCAAATCTGGCGATGTCATACAAGGATTCTACTTCCTGCTGTGAGGATGCCAGTAGAGAATATGATCACTTGGGATGGAGATGGAGATTAGCTAAAGCATTCACCCTTAACCATTCGGGGGATAGCAGCAGTAATGTAGTCAGCAGGAGTCAGCACAGATTTTCCCAGATTGATTATTAGTTCTTAAAGTTTTATAGCACTCGTACTCAGTGTTGGGGAGTAACGGAGTACATGTACCAGCGTTACGTATTTAAAATACAAAATATGAGTAACTGTATTCCGTTACAGTTACCATTTAAAAAGGTGGTATTCAGAATACAGTTACTTTGTTGAAATAAATGGATTACATGGCGGTCTTTTCCTGTTTCATATGTTCAGCTATGCCCTCTCTATTTTGGTGATTCCGATGGAAACCCAATCAAAACACGCATTAAGAGGCTCTAATGTCCGTGTCTCAATCTCACGGCCCATGTCACCCCTAGTTGCATAATGACATGAAGAAATTTTTTTTTTAAATTATTACTCAAAACATTATTTAAGTTGTCACGGAGCAGAAACGGGAGCTGGAAGCATGTAAATATAATAATAACCACTGCAGCCTGACGAGCCCAGCTGTAAGTAAGCTATTAAGACTCGACTGTACACCGTGTTCGTGTTTTCCTCTGAAACAATAAGTTCTGTTGGAGCAGCCTTTCAACGCCTCTCTCTGTCTCTCGCTAGCAAAGTTGACCCAGACAACAAAGTAAAGCTAGTTTTCAGCTACGAGCCCGACACAAACTTGACGTATTAGCCAGAGGTCCCTTTACTACCTGTTTTATATACGCGTGGAATAGTTTTCTACACGAGATCGCTGCAAAAAGTGCAGCCTTACCTAATGTCCACCTACTGTTACTCATTTATATTAAGATTTAAACATCTAGTTGGTGTTGGTATGGAGAGTAACCTTCAGTAATAGTAATAAATCACACAGCAATAGTACATTCATGTAGCTTTTAAAAGCATGATAATATAGTAAGTAATCCAAAGTATTCAGAATACGTTACAAAATATATTTTGGCGCATGTAATCTGTAATCTGTAGTGGAATACATTTTAAAAGTAACCTTCCCAACACTGCTTGTAGTCATCTGCTCACCTTGCAACTCTATCTCTGCGTACATGGGCGTGTCTCATGTTGCATTTCATACTTATATTAAGAGTAGATGTGAAACGAATGCAGGGCGGACCCTAACAACTCAGTCATAATCTTGATTGAATTCTTCATTCAAATATGAGCAAATTCATGTTTTAATAGCCAGACTTTGGTATAGCACAACACTATGCCATAGTTATGTTATTCCAATAACCTTATTGAGGTTTTTAAGCTGTTTGCATTCTTAAAGCTGTATTAGCATTTGTGTGGCACGTGTCTTATCATATATGAAGTCTTTTTAGTGTGTTAAATTAGAGAGAAACATTCAACAGAATATTTCATCCATGTGAAAATAAATATTTAGTTTTCCTAAGTTTTAAATGTTTGACATTTTGCTTCCAAGAGAAATCTACCTGAATGCAAAATCTTGTTCCAGATGCTCCTGACCCACCAGTGGATGTGGAGACCCACAACCCCACATCCAGTACTGTTACTCTAACCTGGAAGCCTCCCATGTATGATGGTGGCTCCAAAATCATGGGCTACATCCTAGAGAAGCAGCAGAGAGGAGAGGACAAGTGGGAGAGGTGCAATGACTTCCTGGTGCCTGTACTATCCTACACCGTCAGAGGATTGATAGAAGGAAAGAACTTCACCTTTAGAGTCAGAGCTGAAAATGCTGCTGGGATCAGTGAGCCATCACGCAACACGCCATTTATCAAGGCCGCCGATACCATTGGTATGTATCAGCTGTGTGGTCTCGTTCTCTCTCGATCTATCTCTCGCTTTCTCTATTTCTAAGTACGCATTTCGGTTTGTCTGATTTTATTTCTCTCTTAGATCCTCCAAAGGTTTTCCTGAGTGGCAGCTTGCAGTCTGGTCTCAGCGTGAAGCGAGGCTACGAGATCTGCCTGGATGCCAACATTTCAGGATCTCCGTACCCTGAGATCACCTGGTACTGGAACAAACAATCAATTCGGCCTGAGCCACTCCGGAAGAGACCTGAAAAACCACTGAAGAAGAAGGTGGAAAAGAAGGAAGAGGAAAAGAAGGAGGAAAAGGAGAAAGAAGAGGGGACAGCTGAGAAGAAAGAGGAGAAGGAGGGAGAGGTGAAAGAACCTGAGGAAAAAGAAGGCGAGGTGAAAAAGGAGGAGGAAGTTCCACAACCAGAGGTCGAGGAGCCAGACTACCCCACCATAAATGAACGCCTGGCCATCGACAATAGCCACAAGGGTGTATCCTCTATCATTATCAGGGACTCGATTCGCCCTGATCATGGTGTCTACATGGTGAAGGTGGAGAACGACCATGGCATTGCCTCGGCAACCTGCGAGGTCAACGTACTCGGTGCGAGTTCTTTTGTTTTCTATAACCAAAGTTTTACTTTAAAGCTAATCATGTGTTAAAAAAAAGATACAAGAAGTTCAAATCTGAACATTTATTCTGTCTACAGATATTCCCGGGCCTCCAGTAAACTTTAGATTCGAGGAGGTGAGGAAGAACTCCATGATCTGCAAGTGGGATCCTCCTCTGGATGATGGTGGCAGCGAGATTCTCAACTACACCCTGGAACAGAAAGACAACTCCAAGCTGGAGATTGGTTGGAGCACCGTTACCGCGATATTGAAAGGATGTCGTTTCTTGGTGCCCAAACTCATTGAGAAGAAGGAGTACATCTTCAGGGTCGTGGCTGAGAACAAGTATGGTACAGGCCCACCCTGTGTCTCCAAACCGGTCATTGCCAAGAATCCTTTTGGTACGGGTGCAGTTATTATTATTCTGGTCTATGCTGTTGTTTGTTTTGTTTGTTGTTTTTTTCAGCTTGGTTTGTAGAGTTTTGAAGCACAAAAATTTTGTAACTGATTAAAGTTCAGCTGAAATTAAATATATGTCATTATGTAGATTAATTAACAGATAACTGTACTATTAATGAACTTAATTAATGAATTAAAGGTATACAAACAATAGTAACATACCACTTATTTTTGTTCCACTATTTCATCTCGGTATGTCCTTAGAACCTCCCGAAGCACCTGATAAACCACAAGTTGATGACATCACAGCCAATAGCATGCTGGTCACATGGAATGAACCAAATGATAACGGCAGCCCCATCTTGGGATACTGGTTGGAGCGCCGTGAGATCAACAGCTCACACTGGGCACGTGTGAATAGGTGAGAAAACCATACAATGTAACCATTTTATTTCTTTCTTTTTCCAATTTGCAACAAGACACATGAAAGTGCATATTGGCTTGTGTGAGGGTAATAACAAAGCCTTCATGGTACCTTTGGTCTTCAGGAACATCATCGCGGAACCTGAGCTAAATGTTGAAGGTCTGATCGAGGGGCTGACTTACATCTTTAGAGCGGCTGCCGAAAACCAGGCCGGCCCTGGAAAGTTCAGTGTTCCCTCTGAACCCAAGACTGCCCAGCCAGCTATTTGTACGTAAACTGTCCTGAATCCTTTGTTCGACAGAACTGTGAGTTGTGTTCTTGTATCTGTCCGTGAAAATAAAAAGCATCACTAAATGTTTTATTCCTAGTTATATCCATCTATAATACTATAACGCAACTGGCAATTTTTTAATATTTGTCACATTTATATGTTTCATACGGAGCCCCGCAGGGGACATGGGAGAAAAAAAATTAAGACGGACTGCGAGATCTCGCAAAACAAACTCGGGATCTCGCAAAAGTTTTGCGAGATCTCGCAAAAGTTTTAGCCGCATTCTTCGGACGCCGGCTCGAAGCCGACCGGGAGGTCGAGGCACGATGTGCCGGGAAAGCGGTGTTCCTCCCGGCTGTAGTAGGTCTCGACCTCCCGTTAGCTTCGAGCTAACGGGAGGTCGAAGGCTGAAGAATGCGGCTAAAACTTTTGCTTGGATCTCTCCAAACAAAAGTTTTGCGAGATTCCGAGTTTGTTTTGCGAGATCTCGCAAAAGTTTTGTGAGATCTCGCAAAAGTCCGTCTTAATTTTTTTTCCTCCCATGTCCCCTGCGGGGCTCCGTAGTTTCAGATAAAATTTCAAACAAATTTTAATATTAGAAATTGATAACCTGAGTAAATAGAAAATATTTTTAAAAAGATTATTTCATTCTCATTCACATTACAGGGCCTCGAAAGAGTCCTGTATTGTTATTTTTCGTCACTACCTCCCTGAGTCGGGAGGGGATCATTTGTGCGCGTGCTGCCTTCCTTGGATGTGGTAGTCGTTTGTCAGGTTCTCTCCGGAATCGAACCCTGATTCCTCATTACCTGTGGTCAAACATGGCAGGCAGAAAAAGTGCCATCGAAAGTTAATATGGCGAGCATTGATTCAGCCATCACTTTGTGCCCTGAAGCTCAAGTGCACCCAGGTTATGGAGCAGTACGATGATACAAAACACACCAGCAAGTTCACGTTTGGATGGCCTAAAAAGCCCAATTGAAGGTTTAGGAGTAGCCAAGAGTAACTCCAGACTTAAAACATATAGAAATGGATTGGCATGACTTCAAACAGGGCAATATGGCTGAATTCAAACATATCTGCAAAGAAGAGTAGACCAAAATTCTTCCACACCAATATAAAAGATTCATTGCCAGTTATTGCAAACACCTGATTGGATAACGTTTTTCTCTTACTAAATGAAATCAACATGAAAAAACAGCATTTTCTATTTACTTATGTTGTCTTTGTTAAATACAATTTGTTTGATGATCTAAAACATTCGATTAGATGATTTCCAAGTGTTTTTTTGTTTTAGTATAATATTTGAACTGAATTACTTCCTGCCTCATCTGGGTATAGTTATTCTCACTGAAATATAGTCAATCGTAGGGTGAGCTTCATCTGTGTTTACTTTGACCCTACAGTGCCTCCAGGTCCTCCAGTTGCCCGAGTGGCAGAAACTAGTGACCACTCCATCGAAGTTGAGTGGGACCCGCCTGCTGACAATGGAGGTGGGGAAATCCTGGGATATCATGTGGATAAGGTGAAAAAGTTACTTCTCATAAGTTTTTAACTTTGTTTTTGAGATTCTGAGATGTTAGAAGTTGATTTCAGTCCTGATGGATGTTCTTGTTTGTTCTGTGGTGTTATTCAGGCTATGGCTGGTACCAAGGACTGGTCGAGATCTACGGAACGTCCGTGGAAGACTCGGAACTTCACTGTTTATGGAGTCAGAGAGGGAGCAAAGTACATGGTCAGAGTCATTGCCTGTAATGCTGCTGGAGAGGGAACACCAGGATTCACAGAGTCTGTATTCGTCAGAAATCCTGCAGGTTAGCTGAAAAACTCGGAAAAATGTTTTTAAAAATGTAGAAATTTGAACCAGTGTTCAATTAGATCAAATCTTGTTCTTCTTCTTGTATTTTATTTGTTTGTTTTTCATTCTTTGCTTCTTTGCTGGTCATCACTAACAGAGATCCCTGTAATTGAATTGGATCTGTCTGTCAAGAATGGCGTCGTGATCAGAGCTGGAGAAAACCTCCTTATACCTGCTAAAGTCACAGGTAAACCCTACCCAGCCATCACCTGGACCAAGGATGAGGGCAAACCTGACAAAGACCGTACGGAGATCCTCACTGAGGACAACAACAGCATCTTTTCAGTCAAGAATGTCCAGAGGAAAGACTGCGGAAAATATCTAATCTCCGCTTGCAACCCCAGTGGCATCAAGTCTGCATGGACCAGAGTGGAGGTCATGGGTGAGTCCAGGACGTTAGAATTCAGGCCGAACTTCTAATTAGTTGAACAAATGATCAAACAGAATAATATTGTTCTATTTTCAGATGTCCCGGGACCTGTCACAGACCTGAAGCCTGTTGTTGTCACTCGTAAGATGATCTTTCTGAACTGGGATGACCCTGAAGACGATGGAGGCAGTGACTTGACCGGCTTCCTCGTGGAGCGAAGAGATCCCAAGATGCACACATGGAGGCAACCTGTTGAAACCATCGCGTCCAAGTGTGAGTGTGTGGGCATTATGGAGGGACAAGAATACCTGTTCCGTGTCTTCGCCAAGAACAAATACGGCCTGGGCCCGCCTGTTGAACTAGAAACCATCAAGGCTGTAGACCCACAGGGTGAGTGCTACGTTTATTGTCATTCTATGGATGTCGGGGATTTTGAGTTTAGAAGCAGTGTGAAATGTGGAAGTGTATTTGAAACAAGTTTCTTGTGTGGTTTTGCAGGCCCACCATCATATCCTGAGAAGTTCCACTACACTGAACGCACAAAGAACTCCATCACCTTCACCTGGAAACCACCACGTAATGATGGCGGCAGCCCTATCATTGGTTACTTTGTTGAGAAAAAGAGGCAGGACCAGCAGGCCTTTGAGCCCTGCAACACTGAGATCTGTCCCAACATGACTATGACTGTGGAGGGCCTGGATGAAGCCTGGATGTACGAGTTCAGAATCAAGTGTGCCAACCTTATTGGAGAGAGTGAGCCATCCATCCCACTGACTGTGGTTATCCAAGACGATGAAGGTAAAGCCTGAAAACTTCTACTTGTTCAAGTAATGGACGGAAGAGTTTTCTCCAGAGAAATGTATATAAAATAAAGAAGTCGACCCTGGTGGATGCTAATAACTTGGCTCATGGCTCATGCATTCTGATTTGGTTGGTTTCTGTCTTGCCTTTCTCAGTGTCTCCCGAGATTCACATGCTGAAGCAGTTCAAAGGGGACACCATTACTGTGAAGAAGGGTGAATCCATCGAGATCCCAGCTGATGTCCTGGGTCTCCCCATCCCTAAGGTTGAGTGGTCTAAGGATGACGTAGTGATCGAGAAGCCTACTGAGACTCTACTGATGGAGACAAATGTGACTGGCAGAATGAATTGCAAGACCATGCTGTCCATCCCAGCAGCCAACAGGAGGGACTGTGGCAGTTACACTGTGGCTGCCTCCAACAACATGGGTTCAGCCAAGCACACGGTCTATGTCATGGTGCTTGGTGAGTTGAAATCACGTCACCGAGGTGGTACTTTATAACATAAAATATGGTGTTATGACTGAACTCATGCTCTTCTCTTCAGACCGACCAACTCCACCAAGGAGATTGACAGTAACCAATATCAGAGGTGAGTCCTGCTATCTCAACTGGGACGCACCAATTGATAATGGCGGAAGTGAACTGACCAACTACATCATTGAGAAGAAGGAAGTGGTAACAGAGGCGCCTGAGGTGGAAGAGGGACAGGAAGCTCCACCTGAACCGCAGTGGGAGGAGGTTACAAATAGCATAATTGAGAGAAAATATGGGGTATGTCTTTATAATAGTAGCACCAACTGCAAGTTAGATTAATAATAATAAATGTAGTCCAATTGGTTTCCAATGGTAACACCACCTACATCTTCTGAAGGTCTGGAACCTGGAAGACAAAAAGACCTACCTTTTCCGGGTACGGGCTGAGAACCGCTACGGTAAATCTGATCCCTGCACAACTGAGGAAGTTAAAATTATAGACCCCTTCGGCCTTCCTGGCCCACCAGAGAAACCAACAATTGCAGAGTACTGCAAGACCTCCATGACTCTAACCTGGGAAGCTCCCAGAGATAATGGAGGCTCCACGATTATTGGTTACTGGCTGGAAAAAAGGGAGAAAGGTACTGCTTACTGGGCTAAAGTCAATAAGATGCCCATCACAAAGAGGGGCATGAAAGGCTGGGAGTACCAGGTGAGCTGTGGGGCTTTGTAGTAATTTTAACATTTATTTCAAGCAAAGCACTCCTTGTTGAAATTGAATACTGTTGCATTATGTGTCCCTCAGGTGACACGTCTGTTTGAAGGAACAGAGTACGAGTTTAGGGTCGCAGCCTGTAATTCAGCAGGAACCGGACCTTTCAGTGGACCATCTGACTCTGCCTTTGCTGTTGACCGTCTCAGTAAGTAAAGGACAATGCATGTCTTTTTAAAACCCACCAGCTTACTTAAGTCTGGTGTTGGCCACCAGATTCGGGGGGATGATGAACGATAGAATTTGGATCCTTTTTTCACATTCTGTTGCTTTTCCCTGCAGCTCCTCCAAGCATGCCTGCTGCTCCTCAGGTGGCTGATAAGACCAAACACAATGTCACACTCTCCTGGAAACCACCAGAGAGCGATGGTGGCAGTCCCATCAAGGGCTACATTATCCAGATACAGGGTGAGGGGACATCAGAGTGGGTGAGAGTAAATGATCCTGAAACCCTGGACCCCACTACTGAGTTTACAGTGCCGAGCCTCCGCGAGCTGAAGCGCTACCGCTTCAGGATCATTGCTGTCAATGACGTTGGAGAGTCTGATCCCAGCCCCCGCACTAGTGAAGTTCTTATTCAGGATGTCCAACGTATGTCTGAATTTTAAGTAATTTTCACTACGATAAGTAGATACTGCGTATTTCATCCACTGATGTGTCTATCAATTTCTACTCAACAGTTCCACCTTCAATCACACTTGATATGATGGCAGATGACCTGGTTTACATCCGTGCTGGAGATCCCATTAGAATCCCCACCACCATCAAAGGCCGGCCCACTCCTAAGGTAACCTGGGACTTTGACGGCAAAGCCAAGACGCACAAGAAAAACAAACTCCACACACTGCCTGTGGACTCTGAGGTGAGACCTTAATACCAGAGTTTTTTCTGAAGAGTTCTTGCCCTTGTTTAAAATTTTATGAAACCATTACATTATTATGTTTGTATATCTTACAAAATACATAAGACAATTCTTTAACTATTTTTTGAACTAGCTTGTTCAGGTGGAGTCCACAGACACCACTTCTGTTGTGACTATACCTGTCAGTCTGAGGACTCACTCTGGACGTTACACCATCACAGCCAAGAACAAGTCTGGACAGAAACACCTCAACATCAGGGTCATTGTCCTCGGTATGTTTGGGACTTTTTTTTAAGAGAAGCATACTTATAGAAGACTAGCAATGGCAGAGTGGCATCTTTTTCCTGTGTCCTAAATGTTTTACTGTGCTTGTGGCTGCAGATGTTCCCGGACCTCCAAAGGACTTAAAGATTACTGACATCACCCGATCAACCATGAGGCTGATCTGGAAGCTCCCCGATACAGATGGAGGAGAGCGAATCAAGAGTTACTTTATTGAGAAGAAATCGGTGACCGACAAGGCCTGGGCCCAGGTAAACATCACCTTGTTGTCAGTTTCTCTATCCTATTTTGCTAAGTTTCAAAAGTAATGTATTAGAGGTGGGAATCACCATACATCCCACGATACGATATTATCACAATACTTAACGCACGATACGATATTATCATGATACTTAACGCACGATACGATATTATTGCAATTTTTTAAAATATTTTGCGATATTCAGATTCTGTACATAAAGGTAAACTTTATCAATATTCATTTT